AGCAGCGACGAGGAGCAGCGACGAGGAGCAGCGACGAGGAGCAGCGAAGAGGAGCAGGGTAGAGGAGCAGCGATGAGGAGTAGCGAAGCGGAGCAGGGAAGAGGAGCAGCAAAAAGGAGCAGCGAAGAGGAGCAGCAAAGAGATGCAGCGAAGAGGAACAGGGAAGAGGAGCAGCAAAGAGATGCAGCAAAGAGGAACAGGGAAGAGGAGCAGTGACTGGATAGAAATGAAATGAACAAGTGCTGCACACTGACATATTGTTACGGAAGAATTTAACGTATCAATGACATGCGCACGATGATGTGTCACGTATCATTGAGCACTTTTAAATAGGTATACTGAAATTCCCAATATTTTCTAGTGGGTATATGCCGTATGTCCGTGTATCAAGTAGACTACATCACTGGAGAGGGAGGGAGAGAAATATGGAACAAAAAGACAAACCAGAAATAAATAAGCAAGTCAATTTATTTATAGAGCACATTTAAAACAAAAACTGTTATCAAAGTGAACAAAGTCCATGCTCCATAATCCAGGTATACAATCCAACAATTTTCAGTCAGGTCATCTGGACAGTTTCTTTTTTTGTGCTGAAACGTTTCACCTTCCATCCAGAAGGCTTCATCATATACCTGGATTATTCATATTTCATTGTACCCAGACCAGACTCCAGCCAACCTGTGTCAGGTGCAGCCTACAACCCAAGAACAAAAGAGAATCTTCTTGTGTTTGACAGCAGATATAACGCTGTTTCTTACAAACCTTCAATTTTAAAAAGAGTTGATGTAAAAAGAGCAGCAGATACAGCCAGTCAGTGTTTGTCCTCTACAAATGCCTATTCTCCAGAAACGCCCATTTTTGGTCTGCAGAGAACCCCTTCTCACTGCTACCGTGACCCGATTTCAGAAAAAGTGGAAGATGATGGATGGATGAATGGATGGATGGATGGATGGATGGATGGATGGATGGATGGATGGATGATAGCAGAAAAAGTGGGTTCACTTGTGGATAAAACTTGTCATACAAACGATGAAGGGATGGGATCAGCAGGAGAACCTGAGGGTTTCATCTGACCAACAACTTTGTTTAGAAATGGGAGTGAAATGGGTTCAAACTGTTTGAGGACAGCTGAGCCAGGGACAAAGACAGAGGAGTCAGCTGTGGACTGAGGACTGGACGACCTAATCGACTCAACCTTTTCAACAAAGTACCTGGTGAAGTCGCTGCAGAGGCCTCCATGCCGGCAGACTGAGGCACGTTTACAACAAGCAAATAAAGATATTTCAAATATTTCTTCTTTCCTCTCTGCAATCTGATGGAGAATAACTGAAAAAGGTTAAAGGCTGTTGGTTGCTTTCCATATTTAGAAAAAATGTCTGTGTTTCATTTATTTTTATGTCATATCACACCAACTTCAGAAATATGAAAGTGTTTGCCAACTCTGACTCACTTGTTCATTTGTAATTGTTTCTTAGAAATAGTTTGATCAGAGACTAGTTCCTTGCATGCTGTCCACCTGAGAGCTAATTAATGTTTGCAGAGTGGAAAACTGACAACACAACTGGAAACATACAGAAATGTACTGTACTTTATTCCAGGTGTAAAATTGATCCATATAGCTCTTTTAACTATTTGAGCATGTCAGTTTCAGTTGTGAACAGAGCCAAACTGTGTATTTATAACTTGAATACAAACATTACCTCATTACTCAACACGTTATTAAGAGTTATGAAATTAAATCTAATTTATTTACATGTTTGGACCAATTTTAAGTTGCTTGTGTATTCACTTCTGTTAATGCATGCACAGTATGTTGTGCAAGTGTGTGGTTTGGTGTGTGAGTGTCACAGTGTCAGCTGATTCACTCAGTAGGATGGAAAATTAAGGTCCAGGGTGGGGGGTGGGGGGTCTGGATCAGGAGGGGGGTCTGGATCAGGATCTGCTGTAATGACCTCAAGATGGTCTGACCCAATGAACTGCAGTTATTACTGTGTGTCTCTGAATTAAAGGCAATAAAATGCTTGAACATGTTCACTACAACTCCTCATTGACCACATCCATCAGTTAACTCCACCCGGTCATTTTGTCATCCAACCTTTATTTCTACAGGTTAGTGTCATTGAGCCTCGAGGACTCGTACAAGAGAGACCACCATTGTTCTTCAGGCTCACAGGACCAAACTAGATTAGTGACACACTATAAAAAAGCTTTGATAAAACCAGTAAAATGGACAATAACCATAATTATAATGGACTGCATTGATCACTTTTATCTTTCCACATTATATTCCATGATTTCACAAACCTTTCATTGGGGACTGGCCAGAAAAACAGTCAGCCACCAACTATTATTATTATTTCTGCATTCTTTTCAATCTTATTTCTCCTCTTTCATCATCTCCTCCTTTAGACCCATTGGACATGGAGTACGAGGAGGCGGTCAGTAAGGTCACGTTGCAGCAGGTCATCCGTGACTTGGAGCCCTCCACCAGTTACACTTTCTACGTCAAAGCCTACACTTCCCACGGAGCCAGCAAACCGTCGGACAGCATCACTGAAAGCACTCACGGCGAGGGTGAGTCCAGATCCGTCACAGGCCATTCACATAAAATGAGTCACTGTTGTAGGAGAGCAAAAGAACAGTTACCCCAAATATCTTTTTTACTGTTTAGTCAGTTCAAGGTTTTAAGGATTATGTAATGACCTTTATCTGCTCAATGTTGCCTTGTTTTAAATGTGTTGCGTTGCAGTGCCTGCTGCTCCCTCCCTCTTCACAAAGGTGATGAACAGCAGCGTTGTGCAGGTGATGTGGGAATCCTCCACTAAGATGGGTCAACATCAAGGCTTCAAACTTTACTACAGAAGAGCTCAGGCGCCTCTGTTCTCCGGTCCGTTCACCTTTGCTCCAAACATCACGCAGTGGACCATCACTCTGCTGGGTGAGACCTTTAGAAAGAAACATCTCTTTATCCTGAATACAGCTTTAAACTTCCGTCATGTTATTCTATAATGCCCAACAACTGTAGTGTTGTTGTTCACATTGGTAAGAGCAGCATTAAATAGCTTCTTACAGTTTTCATACTAGATTTCTTATAATTGTGTCATTTGGGAACAAAATTTGAATCATTTCTCAGACTCAAACCATCCAGATGCCTCATTTTTCATACATTTGAAGCATAGTTACAAATTGTCAGCCCACTAAGGTTAGAACAGCTGTGAAACATTAATAATGAATTTATATCTCCAGCCCATTGCAGTCTGTTGATGCTGCATTTATTGTTTGACCTTGCTTTGCCACCAGTTCACTCCAGAATATTGTTGCATGCAAAGTGTCTCTGAAGAAGCTGGAACAGAAAATCAGATTATTTTTTAACCTCAAGATTGAAGAAAAAGAACAGCAAAGTGTTTGTTGAAGCTTCTTTTTTTAGGAAATCTTATTTAGATTTAAATTTTAAAAATTAGCTTGTTTTATTTCTGACACTCTGCATTTGTTTTTGACAGCAAATGTAGAAAAAGTAAAACTATACAAAGTAGTAAATCAGAGTTCAAATAACAGTTTGAAATGTTTGTTAGATGAACTTCCACCTTATTTCTTAAGGCTGGCTGCTCATATCATCACAGTCCCTGTGACCCACATCTTCAATCTCTCCATGAGACAAAACTCCATCCAGACACTTGAAAACAGCCTTTGTTCTTCTTTGCTGAAGGGAGGAGACCCCCCCTCACTGAACAACTATGGACCAATCTCTAAACTCTGCATTTTAGCCAAGATTCTAGAAAAACTGATAAACTCTCAAATCAAAAATGACCTGGACTCATTTAACATCTTACCTCCACATCAATCTGGTTTCAGGAAACAACACAGCACAACCACTGCTTCACTGAAGGTTCTTAATGATGTTGTTGAAGCACTGGATGCTAAGGATTATTGTGCTGCACTTTTCTTAGACCTGTCTAAAGATTCTGACACTGTGGATCAGAACATCTTGTGTCAGAAGATCTCTGAAACTGGTTTCTCTGAACACACCATTGGTTGGGTCTCTAACTATCTCTCAGACCGGAGGCAATGTGTTCAACATAATGGTACTTCCTCCAGTTATTTAACAGTCAACAATGGTGTACCACAAGGCTCAGTCTTAGGACACTTCACAATCTACATACGTAATATAGGTAAAAACATCCCTGATGCATCCATACATTTCTACGCTGATGACACAGTTGTTTATTGTCGAGCTAAAACTGTTGCTAAGGCTTTCCAGCTTTTGAAATCTGCATTCAACATCATCCAGACTGATTTGTTCCACCTCAAACTTGTCCTAAATCTTGACAAAACCAAAGGGATGATGTTTTCAAACAGGAAGTTGGTCCCAGCAGTTCTTCCTCTGATCTCATCCTCAAATGGTGTCCCCCATTGAGTTTGTTGATTCCTATAAATATTTGTGTATCTTGGTCGACTCACATCTCTCTTTTAAGCTCCATGTGGAAAACTTGGTAAAGAAACTGAAAGTTAAACTGGGTTTCTTTTTCAGAAACAGATCCTGTCTAACTCTGAATGCTAGGAAACACCTTGTATCTGTGACTTTCCTTCCCTCCATTGATTACGGTGACATTATTTACATGAACGCTCCTACAAGAACCCTGCAGATGTTGGATGCTGCAGATGTTGGATGCTGTCTATCACGGTGCACTAAGATTCATAACTGGCTTAACTACCGTACCCACCACTGCACCCAGTATTCACTGGTTAACTGGTCACCATTAACTCCACACAGACTCTCCCACTGGTACATCTTCATCTTTAAATCACTTCCTGGTCTGCTGCCTTCATACATCTCCTCCTACATGTCTCTGTGTGAGTGCAGCTACAGCGTGCGCTCTCAGGACATCATTACCTGCAGTGTTCCCTCAGTGAGCACTGAACTAGACAAAAGGACCTTCTCCTACTCCGCTCCTGTTTCCTGGAATATCTTGTAAAAAGATCTGAAGCTCTCGACCTTTGACCTCTCTAAGTGGCTTCAAACATCTGATAAGTTTTCTACACCGCCTTGTAATCTAGCTGTTTTTTTTTTTTTTGCTACTTTTCCTTTTAATTACCATTTTATTTTCACTTGTTAAAAAAAATTAAACTTGTACGCATCCTTTGATTGTCCATTGTTGTCTTCACTCTTTGTTAAATCAGGTGTCTCTTGTAAATGAGTCCCCGAGGCTCAATGAGATTAACCAGTAGAAATAAAGGTTGAATGAAATTAAATGTCATTAAACATTCTAATTATATTATTTCCAGATCATTCTTTTATATAGCAGACATGTATTAAATTGATAAAAATAAACAATGGGAAAAAAACCCTATGTTTGATTTTTGACCTTTAATAAAGCAGAATTAACTTGTTTTAAAATAAATGTACAACTAGAAAACACTCAGGAAAAAGGAACAAAAAGAAATTCCGGTTTTGTTCAGGAAAAACCTCCTAAGTAAAAGACAAACTCATTGTTGTGACAGCTGCCAAAATGCTTTTTTCACACGGCTAAAAGTAACACCAAATATGAGGTTGCAGTGATTTCTCTCTCAGATTGCTCAATAAAGTTGCTCCTGTTTGTGATTTTACGTCTCTTCAGACTCTTCAGTGGTTTATGAGATCAAACTGCTTGCATACAACCAACATGGAGACGGAAATGCCACGACTAGATTCGTTTCACTTCAGGAGGCGTTGGAAAAATCTGGTGCGTGTTGAACAAACCTGCATGTTGCTCCGTCCTGAACCCATTGTGTCAGCTTTGCTTATGCAAACCTCGCTGACATGTGACTGCCATGTGACTGCCATGTGACTGCCATGTCTCCTCAGTGCTGGACGGCTCGTGTGATTGTGTAAAAGATGAGCAGAGCAAAACCTCCACTACAGGCATCATAATTGGAATTCACATTGGAGTGACCTGCATCATCTTCTGTGTGCTCTTCCTTGTCTTCAGCTATCGCGGCAGGTCAGAGAACATCATCCTCACTGACAGATGAAACCCATGGAAACAACTTGCCTATGAGATCTCACTCTCGGGTTAATGCTGTTTGTGCATTTGTCAGTGTGTCATGTGTGCGTTTGTGTAATCCTCAGGTTAATGATGTGTAAGACAGTTCAGGCCACCCCCCAGGCAGCGCACAGTGCAGCGCTGGAATCGTCTTCCTCTTCTCAGGGGTCCTCCGGGCTCAACGGGACTGCCAGGAGAGAAATAGAGGTCAATGGCAGCGCCGCAGGGAAGAAAGTGGTCGACAGCAATGAGCTCGAGAGACTTTTTACTCAACGCAACACGCAAAACACATCCACGGTGAGGACTGAGAAATGTGGTTAGTCTTAACACAATGTGCTTCAATGTATAACAAACAAAATTACTGAGTAATACCAATAAAATGAAAAAACAACAGTGACAGCACAGCCACCATCTTGATAGGTGCCATGAACTACCATCCATAGTTATTAGCAGACAAGCAATATCTGAGGACACACAAAACTATACGCAGCGAAAGAGCCCAATATTCAAATTCATTTAATTCATTCTATTTTCATTAACTGTTATCATTATTGGAGCCTAGCATAAGTAACTTGGTATTTATACATATAT